TGGATACTATGCTGTATCACTAGGATTGCACACCATGAATCTGCCCACTTAAGAATCTGTGAGAATGGTCACTTTTAAAAAATACAGTTGGTTTGAGAACGACTCAAAGCTTTCTAAATGCAAAGGAAAGAAGTTGAGATTGGAAGATCTGCTTTTAACGTATGTGTAACACAAAGGAGGTGTGTAGGATCCCAGATGGAAAACAGACGTCTTTCTCAAAGCAACTATGTCTGGAGTTTTAAGTTGTCCTTCTGTGCAAAATATTCTCCAGGGCAAGTTTATTTTATTGGTGCTGCTGTTGGTGTGTTATATGGTTTAAAAAGGAAATCGAGTAAATTGCTCAACTATGACAAGAATTCTTTCTAGCAAGCCCAGTTTTGAAATATTTAGGCTCAAACCTCCACCACTAAGGGGGTTTTTAATGTGAGTACCATGTCTTTGTTTAAAAATTTTTGTATAATCAAAACCAGATGTTTAATTTTGCCAGGCACCGTAGAATATGTGTTTGGTGTGTGTGGCCTATAAACTCAAGCCTTGCTTTATGTTTGAGGGTCAGTTGGCTCATTTTTGTGGGAAGAAAAGGCTCTAGCCAACTCAGAAATATGTGAAGCCCTGGTTGAATTGCCCATGAAAGCCAAAATGTCAGTTAAATCAGTTTTGAAGTGTTTTGGTTATCCAAAAGGTAGGCAATAGATCCTATGAGCATGGTAAAATAGAAACTATTTTGGCATATCTCCATCTTAACTCATGATACAGAATCTCTGGTCATTCAAATGTTCTGGATCAAAAATGTTATCATGCTTTTCTTTGGCTATGGTTGTTGAGATTTGGAGAGCTGACTTTGAAAACATCTCAAAGTCCCAGGATTTTCTACCCCTATATTAAATGGTCTGGAAGAATTTTAAAAGTGTATCATAGATGTATGTTAAGATTATAATATAAAACTATTTACTACGCAGGAAGACAATATTTAGAATGGAGACTAAGGGGCCTTCCACACAGCCCTATATTTCAGAATATCAAGGCAGAAAATCACAAAATATCTGCTTTGAACTGGGTTATCTTGAGTCCACACTGCCATATATTCCAGTTCAAAGCAAATAATGTGGGATTTTATTCAGCTGTGTGGAAAGGGCCTCAGGCTTGCTATGGTTAATAAGAGTTACAGTCCCAATGCTGGTGCTAGAAATGAGACAGGATTAGAAATACTGTTTGCAACTCTGAGAAACAAGATGCTCCTCTAGAACAAAGCTTCTTAAACCTGGGTTCTCAACCCCATTTGCAGTCTCATAACTAAACTTCCTAAGAATCCTGACCCCCCCCCCCCCATTACCAGCAGCAACTCTGGAGGTTTTTGGATCTCCAGAATTGTATAACTGATTCCTGCCTTTGTTTGACAGTTCAGTTCATCTGAGTGGTAGTATAAATTTAATGGGCAGCTTTGCATTGTCTTTAGATACTCAGAAGTAGCTGCTAGAAGTATGGGAAGGCTTCAGATGAGGGGACTCTTCACCCCTTAATTTGTTGGAGGCAGAGCCACAGATTTTAGTAGCAAGGACTCTAAGGCTAAGCAGCCTGCTTCTAAACTCACTTATGAAAACATCCAAAAGCACAATGTCCTGCAGAGTAGGAATGAAAATGCTTTCCAACTTTCAGCAACTTCAACCACAGTAAAATAATAATCATCACCATCATCATCTTTATTTATAGACTGCCCTGTCTCCCCAAGGGGACACAGGGCGGTTTACACACAAAAAGGCAAACATTCAATCCCCGAACTCAGATACAAACAATTGTAAATAAACAGGGTAATACAAAAATAATATCCATAAATTTGTGACAGAAGGGAAATTAACACCAAAATGACGACCAAATATGACCAATCAAAGGAACCTAATTATTGTTAAAGGCTTTCATGGCCGGAATCACTGGGTTGTTTTAAGTTTTTCAGGCTATATGGCCATTTTCTAGAAGCATTCTCTCCTGACGTTTTGCCTGCATCTATGGCAAGCATAGAGAATTAGTATAATTATACTAATAACATAAATTATGTTATACTAATTATACTAACATAAATTAACCATTTAAGCATAAAACTTAGAAAATGCAATTAAATTACATTAAAATGACTATCAAGGTTGGTCTTCTCATGTACCATAGCAGCAGTGGAATACAGATAAATATAACCACTTTCATTTAAAGTGTATGTAATGTGGAGTCCGACTCTACACTTGGCAGCTATCATCAGTTGCAATGTGTCCACCACCTAAAATTCTGCTGGGTAGATCAGTTAGATCTTGACCACCTAGGTAATTTCAGGATCAGGGAGGGATTCCCAAAAAGTATTTGCGGGTATGAGGGTTGGATGGATTACCTCCTTCCTCATTGAGCAAAGCTAAAAAAGCAGCAACCAAAAACAGTGAGGAAAAGTTGTTGTCTACTTCCTCCATAAAGAGGTAGTAAAAGGTGTTTGTGCAAGCTCTGCAAACAAGCCCATTCATTGTCACTTTTTCATCCCCCAATTTGCATAGGGCTGATTAGCCTTTGGCTGTTGTTGCTGGAGCATCCAAAGAAGCACAGAGGGCCAAAATAGCCTTGTTGAACTGCTAAGTGCCATGCTTGTTTATATATATAGTGAGTGGGACAATCGACTGAAGCTTCCTGCATTTCCCTTCTTCTCATATAAAGAAGAGCACAGAGCAATCAGCCTAAACAACAAAGTAGAATACTTCAGCCTTATTTTGGAAAAGACTGCAAAATGCTATGCATCCAACAAAAAAGACACCAAGAACATGCAAAAGTTGATGTCTTTGAATTATGGCAAATGAACTCACTTGTGTTTTTTCCTGAAATATTTCATGAGAACATAGAAGAAACTTTCCCCTGCAAATCAGGGCCCAATGTGTGGGTCCATGTGCCCTCGAAGTGAGTTTGGTAATCAGGATGATATTTCAAAAACTTCTTCTGACACAAGAAGATGGAAAGCTTTCTCAGGCAATCACTCAACACTTCAGCTTTCACCATGTGTTTGCTTTTAAGTACTTTATTGTAGTTCAAGGCAGTAATTTGTTGGGTGAGTGAGTTGTTATCGGAAGCATCTAAGCATAGACATGTCATTAATAAACTGTAGTGTTAGATCCCAACCCAGACAGCAGCAGAGATAGTCTTTTAACAGAGGAACCCTCAAAACCTGAATGAGCATATTACAGATGCCAACAGTAACTAGCAGTAAACCCCTCTGGTACATACCTTTAAAATTCCATACAAATTGAAGGAAATCAGAGGTGACACCCAGTGCTGTGTATTGGGAGTCATTGCTACATCATATAGTTGGCTTTCTCTATACTATTTCATTATATCTCCCAAGGCTCAGTGTCCCATGGACATCACCTTTGGGAGATAAATGAGAGAGATGTGTCTTATATTCATACTTTCTCTAGATCCAAATCAGTATTTTTCTAGTGCCCAGGTAAAACAGAGATCGGCAAGTGATCCTGGATCCCAGAAAGAGGAACTGGTATCTGAGGAGTTGAAAATTCTACATAGAAATCTGAAAAGAAATCTGAAGTACATCCTGATGGGAGAGCTTCTTTTATCATAAAGCATCTCACCAGAAGCTACTTGCAGTTTCTCAAGTTGCTCCTGACACGGGGGAAAAAATCACAGCTGCTTGCATTCAGATACAAGTACAAGGGTCGTTCAAAATATAATGCCCCACGTTTGTTTTCCCAAGTGTGTACCAAGTTTCTGTTAGGGAAAAACTATCCTAAAATAATAGCAGAGCATCCAAAAACAAACAGAATACAAAACTTGATCATTAGCTCCTTAGCGAGCAGAGGATGAAGTGCAGTGTGATGTGGCTGTAAAGAATTCAGAGCTTAGGAAGCAAACATGCAGAGTCCAATCTAAAAAATCACAAAAGGTTTATTTACAATAATAAGAAATAATTGCATTTTCTTTAGAATCAAGAACTGGGTCAGAGCTATTCTAACACCCATCCCTTCTAAGGTTTCAAAGAGAGGGAAAAACTCAATCACTACATCTCTCCTGACACACAAGCAGAGAGAGATTTGGGTTGTTGTAGATTTTTTTGGGCTATATGGCCATGTTCTGAAGATCTCAAAGCACACAGCACATATTCTCCATACTAAAGTGGCAGAAGTCAGATTCAAAAAGCTTGCAGTAAAATAGTATCCATTTTAAACAACCAGTCAGAATAAGATCATAAACAGAGAAGGGAAAAGAAAAAGATGTATTAAAAAAACTCTAAAATTACAACAGCAAAACAACAGAGAGGAAACAATCTGGGACATCTAATCACCTCTCAACAAAAGATTGCCCCAGGCACTGCCAGGCCATCAAATACTAATCAAGGTGGTCAGTTGAAACATTCACACCTAGCTCCAGCAGACAAGAGTCCTTTGTCCCATCCTGGTCAGTCCACAGATATATAAACCCTTTTTCCTAGTTCCAACATTCACTACCTCAGGATGCTTGCAATAGATGCAGGCGAAACGTCAGGAGAGAATGCCTTTAGAACATGGCCATATAGCCCAAAAAATCTATAACAACCCAAGAAAAAGATGTATTCCCAACTGTCATTCAGGAGATATGGGGGAAGGGAAACCCTTAGTCTATACTAAGCTAACTACCTGCTCCTTGTTGAGGACTTGAGACTTGGGCAGTACGGGGTTGAATTCCAACAGTTTCAAGTTATTCCAACAGATGAAGACACTGTAGTGAACTGTTTGAATGAGGTTTGTTGCAGGTTTCTGTTACAAGCAACAAGTTGTAATTGAATTATTGGTTCATAAAAATGAAAGGGTGCTGAACATCCATAACTGTTTATGTGCTGCGTACAGGAATTGAAATCCTACTCTGAGCAAGACCTTGGACTTGGTGAACCATGAGGCCCTTCCTGCTCTGTAATTTTATGTCTCACCAGCCTTGTGTGATGCATGTGCCGACTCTTTCTTTTTCCTTCCCCCTTCTGATCTCAGATGCCGGATGTGTTCCTTGACATTTTACTCGAAGTCGGAGATGCAGATCCACTCAAAATCCCACACTGAGGCAAAGCCACACAAGTGCCCTCACTGCTCCAAGAGCTTCGCCAACAGCTCCTATCTGGCCCAGCACATACGTATCCATTCGGGAGCCAAGCCGTACACCTGCAGCTATTGCCAGAAGGCCTTCCGCCAGCTCTCCCATCTACAGCAGCACACACGGTAAGGGCCAAGGAAAGTGTGGTACGAAAGCATTCATGCCGCATGCTGCCAGCATCATAGATGATGCAAGTGCCCATGGAAGAAACTACTATGGGCAGATCTGTCATTTGGTGCCAGTGATTCCACCCATAGATCCCACAGTTAGTAAAGGAATCCTTCAACTCGTGATGTCCTGTCCTCTGACAAAGGACAGCCTAGGATAAGTTAAGGGACCGTTAAACCACCAAGGGAGACTAGAACCTGTGGGCTCACAACTGACAGCCTCCCCACACCACCAGCAGATTTACTGAGTACCAGAATGCTCTTCCCTCACTTCTCCAGCCTCGAGCTTACCATACACACATGTTTACCAGCATGTACTCCTCTCTCTGGCCTCCTGGTGCAGCTAAGTCTTTGGTCTTCCACTCCCTCTTGTGGAGTTCAGGGCAAGAATCCCACTTGGTTTTCCTCCATTGTAGCCAGACAGCATGGTGCCATTCCTCATGTTGTCATTGCTAGCCAGCTGGCGGTCATGTCCAACTGCTGCCCCTGCTCCTCCTCTTCGGCAGGATCCACTCCAAGCTCCACACGGCGATTGTCAAGCCGCACAAGTGCCCTCACTGCTCCAAGAGCTTCGCCAACACGTCCTACCTGGCCCAGCACCTCCGCATCCATTCGGGGGTCAAACCCTACACGTGCCGTTACTGCCAGAAGGCGTTCCGCCAGCTCTCCCACCTCCAGCAGCACACACGGTAAGGGCCAAGTAGGCTGGGGGCCCAGCCTGGCCCCCCGTGCCGTCAGCATGCACCTTTTTGGGAGCACACATTGCCTGGCATGCAGGGGGAGGGCGGGAGATGGGTCTGGCCCTGTCAGTTGGAGAGATACGGCCCATCAGGATGGAGTGGGGGCTGCAGAGGAGACACTGACCGTGCCAGGGCACAGGTGGGCATGTTCTGACCCTGCAAAAACCCTAATTTCTTCTCCCCATCCCCCAGGGGGTCACAGAGAGAGAGAGAGAAAGAGGCAGACATGGGTTAGCAGCCCCCAAGCCTATGAGGAAGTCAAGGGGGTGGCAGGCTTTGTCTCTAGAGTGTGTGGAAGCTTTCACTGGTTGTTACAAGGGTTTCAAAGGTACATTGGTTCCTTGAGCAAATTTTGGCTAGAACTCTGTGTAAGTGCTGGTTCTTTGAAAAGGGAAATCTGGCTAAACCTATCTGCTTGGATCGTCCTTTAGCATTATTGAAGGCAGGGGGGAAATCTAACAAATTGGACCAAGAATCTTGTTCTCCTTGCCCTGGCACTGCCACAAATGACTGCGGTAACTAAGCTTGCCTTTTGCCTATGAGCTGTTTGGTCCTCTCCTTTCAGTCTTGCATGCTTTCCCTCTTAGCTTAACTAGCTGAATTAGACTAGGAAGGAGGTGGCATGCGAACTAACCCAAGAAGCAGATTGAATAAGCTGGTGGAGGGTGGTGCAACCTTTGTATTTCTAGCTCAGCTGTAGGACAACGTCAGGACATTTGAGAGAGGAATTCTGTTTTTGTTTTTTCCATCCCCTAATCTTTCCTTTGCTCTTTTGCTTCCTGTGGTAGGATCCATACTGGAGACCGGCCCTACAAATGTGCACACCCTGGGTGTGAGAAAGCTTTCACACAGCTGTCCAACCTGCAGGTAAGATCATTGTTCTGTATGTCACAGCTTGATTGAGGATCGCGGTTTCATTGAGTTTGAGTTGATGCTTTTATATGTGCATGTGTTTTATTTTATTGTATTTTATATTGCGTTCACTTTTATGTTGGTTTACATTTTTATTTATATAGATTGTTGTTATTGTTGTTATTATTTGAAACACAACAAGATCAGTCCACAGCAGACACTCTGCTGGCTGTTGTATTGGATCACACATTGGACACTTCCCAAGTGTCTAGGACTGTGTGATGTATCGGCGAATAATGCATGCAGATACCAGTAAGGCGGCCTTTTGCAGCTGGCAGATGGTAATCTTGTTAGCGCCAATTGTGTTTTAGTGCAGGCCAAGGTCTTTAGGCACTGCACCCAGTGTGCTGATCACCACTGGGACCACCTATACTGGCTTGTGCCAGAGTCTTTGTAGTTCAATTTTTAAATTCTCATATCGTGTCAGCTTTTCCAGTTGTTTCTCTTCAATCCTGCTGTCATGTGGGATTGCAACATCAGCGATCCATACTTTGTTTTTTAACACGATCATGAGATCAGGAGTATTGTGCTCCAAAAATCTGTCTATTATTATTATTATTATTATTATTATTATTATTATTATTATTATTATTATTATTATTATATTATTTGCTCCACACTACCCTCCGAACTTGGAGAGTTTGTGACTCATGAAGATTTAAGTGTTTGCTTCTGATCTTTAAGTCATGAATAATACCAGAGGGTGGGGACTGAAGGAATATCACTTGGTATCATTTCCTTTGACCCCTTCCTCTTCTTTTCATAGTCCCACAGACGGCAGCACAATAAAGACAAACCGTTCAAGTGCCACAATTGCCACCGTGCATACACAGATTCCACCTCATTGGAGGTTCATTTGGCTACCCACACGGTGAAGCATGCCAAGATCTACAACTGCTCCATGTGTAATCGGGCCTACACTTCGGTAAGAACCACCTTGGGTGGTGGGGAGCATGAGGCATCAGATAATTAGGCAGGTGCTTCTCTCTTATGTTTAATGGTTTTGATTGATTTTAAGTTCATAGTTATATGTAGTAATTATTATGATTTCTTTGTGTACTATATGTTAGCATTGAATTTTTGCCATAAGTATGTTGTAAACCATGTTGAGTCCCCCCCCCCCCCCCAGGAGTGAGAAAGGCAGTATATAAATATAGTAAATAAATAAATATATTGGGCCATTTTTGTCCTGGAGATACCATATTTACTCTAATCTAATGGTCACCTTTTTTTGGCTAAATTGCATAGCCAAATCCAAGGTTTGCAGTAGATTCAATACCATGTTAGAATCATGTATTTAAATCTGCCGGCACCCCTCTGTCAGGCTGAAGCTGGTGAACTCACTGTACTTAGCCTGATGGAGGGGCACAACTTTCCAATTGGCCTCATTTGTGAGGCCTTCCAACCCTCCCCACTGGTTTTGAAAATCTTGTGAATGAGGGTTTCGCCTGTTGGCTATTCCAAGGCAAATAGCAGAATGGGCGACTGACAAGGGGAGCTGTGCATTATATTCACCAAAAATATTTTATTTGCAATGCGCACCTTCATAATTGAGGTGCGCATCACAGTCAGTGGCACATTAAAAAGGTAAAAGTTTCCCCTTGACATTAAGTCTTGTCGTGTCCAACTCTGGGGGTTGGTGCTCATCTCCATTTCTAAGCCAAAGAGCCAACGTTGTCCATAGACGCCTCCTAGGTCATGTGGCTGGTATGACTGCATGGATCGCTGTTACCATCCCGCTGAAGTGGTACCTATTGATCTACTCATATTTGCATGTTTTCGAACTGCTATGTTGGCAGAAGCTGGGGCTAACAGCAGGAGCTCATCTTGCTACCTGGATTTGAACCACCGACCTTTCAGTCAGCAAGTTCAGCAGCTCAGTGGATTTGCCCACTGCGCCCCCATATAATGGCATGTATATACCATATAAACATATACTGGCATGTTATACTTGAGTAAATATGATAATTTCCCTTTGGAATCTCTGTAGAGCTTATTTGGTACTTGAAGGAGCTGGTTGGTTGATCAGTTTGCATCTGACCCTCTGAATTGATTTTTAATCTCCCTTCTCCCACAGGAGACATACTTAATGAAACATATGCGGAAACACAACATCCCTGATCCACAGCAGCAGGTGGCTGTTGTCCAAGCCCAGGTGCAGGCCCAAGTGCAGGCCCAGGTCCAGGCTCAAGTCCAGGCCCAAACGCAGGCATCGCAGCAGCAGCAACAACAACAGCAACAGCAGCAGCAGCAACAGCAACAGCAACAGCAGCAGCACTTCCAGTCACAGGGTGGTGGGGCAGCAGGGGGTCCATCGGGCGACAACCCTTCCAACCCCCCGCCTCAGTGTTCCTTTGACCTTACCCCATACAAGACTTCGGAGCATCACAAAGACATCTGTCTCACGGTTAGCACCAGCACCATCCAAGTGGAGCATCTTTCCAGCTCCTAGAGACCTTGGCGGAGGGAAGTGGAAAACTTCTTGCACGTAGTCCATGCCCAAGGGTATAGCTTGTGTGATGGCCTCTCCTCATGCAACCATTTCTGGCCTCTTCTACAGCTTCCCTTTTAGGGAGGGGAATGGGGGGGTTGGTTATATATTAACTTGTAGCCAATTGGCTTCACCATTAGTGCCTCAAAATGGCACGACATCATGTCCTCAGATTGGGAAGGAAGAGAACCCCATTCTTGTGAGAGCAGTCCTTCCCGTTGGCAAACATGTTTGGCTTAGAAGGGGGAAGCCTCCCCCCCCCCCATTACCATCTCATTTTAGAAGTTGAAAAGAGCACCTTCTGGCACCTGGGAAGCTAGGAGTTGGAAGAGGATTTGGCCTTGACTGATTCCTGGTCAGTGAAGGCACCCAGTAGGGGATATGTATAGTGGAAAACATTTGCTCTTCTCATCCCTTAATTCCCATGTGTGGGGGAGGAAGAATGAATTTCTTCAGTCCTAAGCATGAAATATTACACCTCATGCTGTACCATAACATGGGTGGTGTTGCTGTCTAATCAAATGCTTTAGATGGCAGGGGGTGGGATGGGATGGGATGGGGTGGGGTGGGGAAGCACTCTTTTCCCAGCCAACTACAAGAGGAATTAGCAAGTGGGGGTGGGCTAGGTTGCAGCTGACGCCATTTTGTGGCTTAAGCATCATCAGAATGAGAAGCCTGCTGCAGGCATAGAAATACAAATCTGAACCAAAAAAGCAGCCAGGGCAAGAGTGCCAAAATGAACATGCTTCCCTCCCTCAGAAAGGAGGAGAAGAAGTGGTCCCTGTATGTCCCCACCCCCAGTGCCGCGGCTGCAACCCACCCCCACCCCCCAAAGGAGACCTTTTTTTGAGGGGCCAGTGGGAAAGGGAACTGTTGATCTGCTCCTCTCTATCCATCATCCAGATGCTTCCTTCACTCTCCTTATTGCCAAGGCAGACTGGAATGAGGTGGCTGTGGTGGTGACACTTGGAGAGCACGAATCAGAGGAATCTTCCAGAGGGTGGACAGTGGAGAAGAGGAGATGGTGCAAAGCCCGCCCCTGCACGGAGAGACCAATGAGAAGGGGGGGAACACCCCAAGAACAGACTCAAGACCCCTCCTTGAATTTATATATAAATATATATAAATATATATACAGATAGATAGATATATCTATTCACATCCCAACCCCATCCAGCCTGCTCTGTCCTTGCTGTAACTTGTTTCTATCTGTGTTTATAAAAATGCATTATCTTTGCGCACTTTTTTTAAATTTTTCCCTCCTTGATTTGCCCCCTCCTTCTCCCTCCCACTTGCTCTCTTCATCTTCAGGTTGTTTCGCCCCTTCTCTCCTGAATCTTGTGGTTCCCTATGCCATCATTTCAATGTTCTGATTATCACTTCAGTCACCAGGGCAGACGAGAAGCCACAGAAAAAGTAACCAGGGAAAAGATGCCTAGTACTGTGGGTTAGCAGTTGGAAGGACTGTGGTGTTTTAAAATACTGGTGCATAAAAATAAATGGGTTGAGATGTTTTTCTATGTGAATGAAGGTCCTGGCAATTGGTGGCCCTGTGCCCAAGGCAAGAATGTGAGCAATGTCCTTTTGCCATCTATGAGAGAGCATTGTGGACACCCCACCCCCTCTTCTATGCAACACACTCCACTTCCTCGAGTGTAGACACAGCAGCTGTGTGGTGAAGAAAAAACTCAGAAGTGTCCCGATCATTCTGCGTACTTGGGATGGACCAGAGCTGATGAACATTTCCTTCCTCTCTCCTCCATGCTCCCCTCCTCAGACCGCACACAGACCCAGTGGAGATGAAAGGATGAATTGACATTTCAAGATCGTGGTTTAGGTGCAGGGACGATGTTGAACTTGAGTATGCGTGTGCCTTGTTTCTGTGTCTGGCATGGGTATGACTTCTGTGTGTGCATGTGTCCCTGTGCTTCCTATGTGCACGCTACTTTGGCAGAATTCTGTGCTCTTCCCCTTTAGGGTGGGAATTATTTGGTCCCAGTTGTACAATGTCTGTGGTTATTGTGGCAAGCATCGTTGGAGCTACAGGGGTTGACGTTGCCCTTTTCTATGCACAAAGGTTGAGTTGGAGGAGCACTGGAGAACGGTGTACCAGGTTCCTTGGGCTAGCCACAATCATGAGAGATCGCTGAAGTTATCTATGCTAACGTCCATTCGATGTATTGGCACAAAGGGTTGCATTTCCAGCTCCTCCTATATCTGTACAATTAGCAATATTTCTTCATGACCATCAGAAACATCATTGGTGGGGTTTTGGTTAGGTTTTGGGGGTTTTTGCCAGAATCATTAGCGAAGGTCTTTCCCTGATGTAAGACTGTGCACAAATGAAAATTGTTTAAAGACTCTGAAGTATGCTGACGCCTGTGCTATATGTATCCATGCCCTTTTCCTGGTTGTTACCATTGCTATTATCCCAGGGAAAACGCTGTTCAGATTTCTGGGATCACAACAATGCAGTAGAAAAGTATGCCTGCCTCATGGCTTTCTGGTAGTGTCAGATTTCTGCAAAATTGTTTTCTGTGCTGCTTGCACTCTTGGGAAGTAATAAAAATGTGCACTGTTACTTGGGTTGGACACAAAAGAGGCAGCGAGTTTGAGAAGGCCAGCTTTGAGCCCTTACGGATCTTATTAAAACGGAGAGCTTGCTGCTTCTATTCCCAAGATGAAATGTAAACAACTGTCATCTTAAGCTTGTTCTCGGTGCTCAGGCTGTGAAGAGCCAACTGTCGTGATTGAGGTTAAAGCACAGCAAGGCTTGTAGCCCTGAATCTAGGTATAGGCAAACTTTGGCCCTCCAGGTGTTTTGGACTTCAACTCCCACAATTCCTAACAGCCTACCGGCTGTTAGGAATTGTGGGAGTTGAAGTCCAAAACACCTGGAGGGCCAAAGTTTGCCCATGCACGCCTTAATCTAATGAGGGTCGGAATCCTTAAATCTAGTGTGGGCCACTGAGGTTGAGAGCTGTGGCCTTGTGCTTCTCAATGGCTTTTGAGGGAGTTTACAACATCCTCCTGCTAGCACCTGGAGTGAAAAGGTTGAAGCAATGTAGACTATTGATTATTGGATGGGGAAAAAAACTCGCCCATATGGGAAGAATTTTCTCTTTTGTCAGTTCCCCTTTTTTGCCCTTCCTTGCCTTACCTGATGTTTTGCCGGTCGCCATCCCTACCTCTTTGCTATCCAAATAGGAGGAGAGCTTGGCAAAGAATAAATTGTGGGAACTGCTTTAAGAGAAGATAAGTTTCTTTATGCTCAGTCAAAAGCCACCTCCACAGATCAAATGTTAAAAGGTAGCCAATAAAAACACACCAAGTTAAGAAATGCCAAATGTTTTGAAGGCAAGGTTTGTGCTGTTTTGCATCAGGGAAGAGGAGAATACCAGTGGAATTTGGGTCAGTGAATGTTCAGGAGACTATTTCCTGTTTGCTCATACCTTTTGGAATTCCCACATCAGTTCAGGGTGGGTAACTTTCAACTACTCTTCAGAGCCTCTCATGTTGCATTTCCCAGAGGGAGAGGGGTGTTTGAAATTTCCAACCTTAATATTGCATTAGAACTTTTTTGTATTTAATTTCATTACTTTTTATAAAAAAAATAAATTCCAAAAGCCCTCTTAACCTTCATGGAACTGCGTTTGTGTGTGGTTGAATTTTCCTATGGCCGGATGAGTGTTACAGTTGAAGCACCCTTCGGCCGGCTTCAGTGCAGACTGAAACTCAAGGCAAAACAAAATTAGAAATTCCACATACACGTTGGAGCCCATTTGTGTTTGTGAACACTGGAAAGGGATTGTGCGTTCTTTATTTCTTACCACTTGCAAATTTCTGTATCACAGAGTGAAAGTGCCTCTTGGATCTGATTGACCTAAGCGTCTCTATGGACATCATACAAGGGCCTCTCATCTCCCTCCTGCAATGGGCATGTCTCAGATCTCTGCTGTTTTTTTTTTTTTAAGTTTGACTCAATCCACCAGGGAAGCACTGGTTTGTTTATGTCCAGCTTTTTGCATTCCCTAAGACAGGGGTCCTCAAACTAAGGGCCGGATGTGGCCCTCCAAGGTCATTTACCCAGCCCTTGCTCAGGGTCAACCTAAGTCTGAAACAGCTTGAAAACACACAACAGCAACAATCTTATCAGCCAAAAGCAGGCCCACACGTCCCATTGAAATACTAATAAGTTTATATTTGTTAAAATTGTTCTTCAT